TTCTGGATTAGCTTCTCGGGGGCAAGAGAGATGCAGCCCATTCCTTCAGTGGGTTAGCTACCAAAAGAAGAGATGGCTGTATATGTCAGAAAGACCTTGGGCCCAGATCCTCAAACATATTTAGGTGCCTAGCTCCCATTGATTTCAATGAGAAATAGGTACCTAAATACCTTTGAGGATCTGGGCCTGGGGGCTGGATTGATTTGGCTACAGGACAACAACCACATGGGCAGCAAGAAGGCAAGTGGATACCAACCCATAATCATACGTTAACCATGACCTGGAGAGGAGAGATGCTGGTTGTCTCCATTGGTTTATTCAGTCTCGGGCCTCTCTGCAGGACATGGTGATGCTGGTGCCAGTTTTTAGCTGTCTTTGAGAGGCAGGTGCCTGTCCATCAGCACCGGATTGAGACCCCCAATCTCACTGCATGTGGGCCACCAAACAGCTGTCAAATGATGACAAATTCCAGTCACTGCCAATGATCTAGAAAGGCTCCATGTCCTTCTATCAATCCCCTGAACTACCTGTTCTCCCAGGAACTAAACTTGTGTTCTGCTGATGCTCGCCAGGTGGGAGTTATCTATTTTGTCACCGGATGAGCCCTGTCCAGAGATGAGCAATGGCCTTGGGCAGTATGTCGAGAAGAGACCCCAACACATGGTCATTGGAGCCCTCTAATAATCGAGCTCCATCTCCTCACCCTCTTGGGAAAATAATACTCTGTGTGCCTTACGTCACACCTGGGCTGCAATGCCCACAAATGCCAGTGGGTAGGCAGTCGGTGTTGGGTAGTACCAAACAGGGCCGGCTCCAGGCACCAGCTAAGGAAGCAGGTGCTTGGGGCGCCCAATGGGAAGGGACGGCATGTCCAGGTCTTCGGCAGCAATTTGAGCTGCCACCGAAGAGGAAGAGGGGGAGCAAAGGAACCGCCGCCAAATTACCACAGAAGAATGAAGCAGCGCCATTGAGCTGCCGCCGAAGTGCCGCCGATCTGCTTTATTTTTTTTCATTTCTTTTTTTTTTGCTTCGCCGCTTGGGGTGGCAAAAAAGCTGGAGCCGGCCCTCGTACCAAATGCATTCATTTCACTGTGACCTTGCCCTCCATTCCCTCTTGTGGGTTTTCTCCACCTGTTGCCTTCTCGTCACATGCTGAAATTGCAAGCTCTTTGGGGGCAGGGACTGACTTTATTCTGCCTGGTACAATGAGTGCTGAACCCTGGTAGTGGCCATTAGATACGAGCGCAATAAAAACAGGTGGGACAGTAATTCATCTGAGGATCTCAAAGCACTTTGCAAACGTCAGTGCAGCTGACACCAGGCCTGTGAGGTAGTAGTTTGGTCCTTTCCCACCCACTGCCCCAAACTGGTGGTTGTGAAGGTAAGATTTGTGCACCCCTGACTCACTGCCATCGCTGATGTGGTGAATTAAGGGGTGCCTACCTGTAGAGCATTGGGAATCGCTGGCAGCTGAATCCCAGGGAGTCAGATTCTCTGTGAAGTGAGTTGGCCTCACACCCAGATGTTTCACGCCATTGCATGTTATTCTGGTTTGTAAACAACAAACAATCATTTCCAAATGGCCAGTGCAGTGAGGCGGCTGGGCTGGGCTGGGTGGAACCCTGAAACCTTCCGTTCATAGCAACAAGGGAGGCTGCGGCAAATGGATATTTGGTCTAGGTCCCTGTGCTAAGAAGACTGCCAGAGACTTCCCTTTGTACCCTATCCTGTCCTTTACCTCTGTCCCCCTTCTTCCTCTTCCTCCACTCACTGACGAAATCCTGCTTCACACCTGGTATAGTCCTAATAGGGCAGCGGGTTGCATCTGCTATGGGAGAATGAGGGGTGAACAGGCTACTTAGCACAGGCCTTTTCTGGGAAAATCGTAGACTGTAATAAGATTGAAACCAACAGAGTTCTTTAGAAATTGCTTTTAAAAGCAGGGCGCGATCTCCTTTCTGCTCAACAATGCAATAGAATTTTATTGCAGCCAGATAGCGATGAATAGAGAATGTATATCCCTGCTATCGAATGACCTCAAACCTCAGTAGGAAAGTTCTCCTTTTCTATCCAATCCCATAACCCCAGGCCAGTAGGCCTTCTGAAGAGTTGTGGTTGTCTGCTATTAACTTGTAGCTCCTACAATGATCAGTTAAGCAGACTTTAACAGTAGTGATTAACCAGTGATTTCTTTGTCTAAAGCGTCTGTTCAAGTTGGGTAACTTTTTGTGACTTTGGGAACATTATGGCTGGGAGGCTCACCGCCCAAGCTCAGCATGACCCAAGGGACGCTGATGGTCACTGCAGTGGGGAAGGTGGAGGTACCACTAAAGAGCCAACTGCGTGATGTCTCCATTCTCCCAGGGACATTAGAAAAACCTCAGCGTGCAGCTCCCCCTGCTGGCTCCATCCCCCTTCTACAATGCAATGATTTTTTTCTTTTGAATCTGTATTTAGTTTTTACTGTGGGCCAATTAACCCTTGCACCCGGGTTGGCCGAGGGGTTCACAGCATACTAAGAAGTGCCCTGACCGTGTCGTTACTGCACATTTATAGGCCTGGAATATTCTGAACCAGCAGAATCCAAAAAGCTACAACTAGTGCTGGGGTGGAGGCTGTGAGGCGGTGTGTAAAGCCAGAGCCTCTCACTGTGCTAGCTTGTTTCATGTTTCCTGCTGCTGTTCTGGTCCAGGTAGTCACTGGATTTAATTGTAAAAAGGCATCTTTGGCTGATGGGATCCCGGGTGACAAAACAGCCCAATAGGTCCAGACCCTCACTGCTGCCCCGCACCCACCGCCTTATTGCCAGACGGAGGTGTTTCCTTCTTCCAATAGAAGAGTGGTGCCTAGTTTCTCCTGAAAGGCGCCTCGAGAAGCAGGGCAGCCGGCCTGCTGAGAAATGAGCTATTTGGACGGTAGCTGCTGGAATCTGGGGCTGGCTGGTGGGAGGTGAACAGCGGGAATGATGGACACCAAACTGGCAAATGTTGTGTTCTGACTACCCGGAGTGGCTTTGCTTAAAAAAGAAATCCCACTTGCCATCCCACCAAAACTCTGCCACCACCAGAGCTCTCCAAACATCACTCACCGGCGTGAACTCTCATTGGCTGATCGTACCTGGAAGGCGGGATACGCCTTGGTCCTGAGAGTTCTCCGTTGCTCGAGCCCCTTCCCAGCAGGCCGGGGCGTGGCTGCTCTGCTGTCCAATGGCAGGCAGCATTGTAGGAGCTGTATGAATTCTTTTCTCACGTTTGGGACTGAACCACTTGGTTGCTAGCAGGCCTCTCTGCCATTGTCTGACCCAGGACATTATCCCCATCTGATCCCCACTGTGAGAAGCTCTGGCTCTTCTCTGGTATGTGAGAATGGCATTGCCCCCACTTGAATATTGATCCAGAGGTGGTCTTCACGTGTTCCCCGTGATACAGGCCTTATTTCTCCTCTGTCGTATGATTGGCCACCACTGGTGTAGGATGGGAGGTAGTCGGGCATGAGACTGATGCCGGTCAACGGGTACCCATATGCTGGGTGGCTGTCACTTTCCTTTCCTACACCTCTCCACAGTGTGCCTGGTCTCTGCCTGTCCCCTGGACAAAATCCTCAGCCTCCTTCCAAACCTGGATGTGGGCTTCTCCTACTGACTCCTGGGTGATTTCTTTAACCTCCCCTTCCCTCCCTTCTGCCCTGTTCTGTTCCTTCCCAGCGCCAGGCTCTCTGCCCTCGTCAGGATCATTTTGCTGTCCATGGTGCTTAAAGATTGAGCGGAAGTAGGGAGTGAATTCTTGACCTGCTGCACTGCAGGTCTAAGTTGGGAAGCTGGGTACGAAGGCCAAGGGCTTTGGTGAAGTGAAAGAGGAAGGAGCTTGGTGCACAGCCTTCTTGAGCCGACATTTAAAGATCTTCTGAAGGGCTGTTTATTTCCATGACCCCTGGGTCTCATGCATGTTGAGAGGAGCTCACTGGTCATAACCAACTTTCCCCTTCCATCTATCTGCTGAGACTGCCAATAAAGCAGCAGTTTAGGGCCAGTTGTCATTTTTAGGATTTTTTTTATGACGTAGGAACAAGACCGAGACCAGTAAAACTCATTTCCCATTCAGCACCCACGTGTGGTCAGATGGCGGTAACTCTCGGTCACAGTCAGGGTGGACTGGAAGAAAACTGGCACTCCAGAGATGCCATATCCCCATGACCAAGCCTTTGAGCCATCCAGTCTCCAAGGGCTGCAGTTTTATGTACCTACTGTGGTTCTATCAGGACTGTTCAACAACCTTTGGGAAATAGCTGGTCTCTCCAAGACACCACATTCTCTAATCAGATCTAGCGAGCAGCAGCACCACTTTGCTTGCCTGCAAATTGCAGCAGTACCGCATTTTGATGGCCACACTTCCAAGAATTGCTTCCCAGTTGGGCATGGTGGTGGCTATTGCATGGGGACTTGCAGCTAGGAGTGGCCCCTGGGCAGTGAGTTACCTGCTCCTGTCTGGGAGTCAGTGCTGGTTCTGGGGTTTTCATCTGCCTGGGGAAATGTCCATTCCCAACAGCCTGTAGTCATGCACACAATGAACCCATAAGATGCAGTAGTGGGAGAGGGCCAGAGAGGGCTAGAAGCACCTTGCTGAATGTAATAGTTTTCTATCTAGATGCCATTCATCCTTTATTTAGGGACAGCCCCATAAATACCAATGCACTGTGATCTAGTTTGGTAGACCTGGGAAGCAGGTAGTCAGACTTTGCTGGATTTTAAATTAACTCATTACAATGTAACAGCTCCACCCTGTTCTTCCCAGACTTGCTCCCTTTGCTGTTTCCCAGTAGGTATTGCATCTGCTCACTCCTCTGCTAGACTGGTGCTGCTACAGATACAACACGCTTCTTCCAGTATAATGTTCTGCTTAGGGTGACCAGATGTCCCGATTTTATAGGGACAGTCCCGATTTGTGGATCTTTTTCTTATATAGGATCCTATTACCCCCCACCCCCATCCCAATTTTTCACACTTGTTGTCTGGTCACCCTAGTTCTGCTGCGCCTAGTATTTTGTAGTCCTCGGTGTCCACCTCCTCTGGCTTGTATGGTGGAGTTGGGGCTGGTTGGAGCATGTTGTCTGAATGGTTACGTGGCTTTCCCTGGAGATTTACCAAAGGTGACGCTTCCTATTCCAGGATCATCCTGGCCCTCAAAAGGGGGGACTCAGAAAGAAGCTGATTTCATTCAAGGAAATTTGGAAAGTTCCAGGGACCTCTGCAAGCTGCTACAAAAATGCAGGGGTTTTCAAGCAGCTGCCGGTTGGCCCTGGTGAAGAGGGGCTAGAATTGTAAAGAGAGGAGCTGTGTGACATTAGCTGAAATTAACTCCCACTTGTTTTTCCACTAGCCTGCGACTCATGCTAAACCCCCCTCCCTCCTAACCAGCTTTTAACTGCTCTAGTTAAGAAAACTTAACTTTTCTATTACTGCACATTTGTCTCCTTTACCCAGGTGCTTAATTACCATTGTCCCAGCGAAATGTCAGCATGAGTCAGAGACAGTCTCCCATTAGGAAGAGACAGATGAATATTAATTACACTTACTGGTGAGTGGGTTTTCTTTTTTGTCATTTCCCTGACTCCGCTGAGGACCCGGTAGCTACATGTTCCCTGGCCTGAGCAGCTGAGCTGGCACCAGATGGTCAGTGAACGGACAGCGTTTGTGGGAGATGGAAGGGAACCCAGCAATGCGAGACGAGAGGAGACTCAACACTAGCTACAGCAGAGGCTGAAGATGAGAGAGAGAGAATCTGCAACATAAATTGAGAGTAATAATAAACTCCATCTGCTGTAGGAACAGAAGCAATTTAACTTTCCCCTCTAGCCAAAGGAAACAAACTCTTATTAAGAAATCTTATTACCAAGTACTTTCATCTTTGGGTGAATAACCCAAGCCTGGTGCTTGGTCTCCCAAAGCAGGTTTTTCTATGGTGCAACTGAACTGGATCAAAGCAAAACAACTGCATGGACTTTCAGGTGTCCTTTGGGGGCTGAATTCCGTCTGACGTCCAGGATTCTCTGTGTCTACACCATCAGTCATGGCACTGGAGTCTCTGAAGATAAGCAGGGTTAATGGGGAGCAGGCAGCTCTTTTCTCCCTCTGGTCCTTGTTTGTGAATTCCACACAGCATGCGTACGTTCAATATGTCATACGTTCGGGGACAGATTTTTTTTTTAAAAAACCCTGGCTTCTAGCTTTGCACTTGCAGTTGTGTGGGCACAACAGATGTCAGATCAGTGTTTGATTAAGTGGTGCGTTACAGTCAGGTAATGATGTATCTGACAGCCATTTCAGCTCTCACAATAGTTGGAGCGTGGAAGGCTGAGGTAGGTTCCGTTTCCAATCAGGCTTCACAGCTCTGCATTTCACGTCCCCAGCTGCAGAGGCACTGTTATGGGAACGCGGCTGATGGCATTTACAGGTGATCAGACACTAACATGACATCTAATGGGTCCATATAATTACAGGTTAAAAAAAGGGAGGCCGGGTTTTAAACATCTAGGGTCTTAACTTGGGAGAATAAGTTGCTAGAAATGACAGTTTTCTGTATATGGAGAATGTTTTCCAGTATTAAGCATTATGCCCACATAGAGCCTTACCCCAAACCCACTGAAGTTAATGGGAGACTTTGGCTTGCCCTCAGTGGCCTTTGAGTCATACCGGCAAGGGTTAAATCTCTCTGAGGATAACTATGATCTTAACCAGCTAGACCAGGGGTGTTTGTGGTTTGCAGCTGCTTTTTACTACACTGGTGCCTGAGTCCATGTGTGCAAAGCCAAGCAGAAGAATGGGCTGAGTTCAGATGGTGCCTCCAGCCCTTGGTAGCATGCCCTCCCATGACAAGTCTCTTCTCTATTAACGCCAGCACACGTTAGTCAGTCAGATGTGACTTCGGGGAGGTTGGGGAACTTCTCTTTCAAACTCCATGGCCAGAGCTGTCAAAGGGAGAGTGGTGGTTGTCTTTCCAGTGGATAAATGAAACCCCGTCATCTGTCCCTGAGGACCGTTTTTGGAAATGCACAATGCTTCGTAAGAACTCTTTACAGAGTATTGATGTGAGGGCACCAGCCTTCTGTGACTGGAAGCATCTTATGGAAAGGTAGAAATTGCTGCTGCCCCTCCATTTCCACTCTTGGTCTGGTGAGCAAAGGTCCTGAACACACAAGTCCTGTCTCAAAGTGCAAGTGTCCCATGGCCTTCCCCTTCCTCATGCCACCTTTGGAATAACCATAGTCACACTGAATTCTCTTGGAATTCAGTGGCTAGTAACATAGGTGAAATTTACCCCTGTGCAAAGGGTCAGCAGAAGATCCCATGCTCCAACTCCAGCAGAACTTAGGTGGTACGTGGGCTTTGTGTCGATCCTCTGGACAGGAGTGATTTTCACCCCGTGTGATTACCCAGGTGCTCCATGTAACCTGCCCTGAATTGGGGCTGGATTTTCAGAGGGGCTGCAAGCTGTGCATCTGCACAATTAGCATGAGCAAAGGTCACATGTAAACAACAGTTGGGTTATGGTGCACCTAACAAGCTGACATCTGTGCACAAATTCCCATCTTTATGTGCAAATGTGGAGTTTGAGTATGCAATAGGCTTGGCCAGTCATTTTGTGCACGTCCCAGTAAGAAGCTCTCGGAAAGGATTGGGATTTAAAGTCCTTTTATTAAAAGCTGAATGTTTCTCGTATCTCATGGGCACCTTTCCATCCCGACCAAGTGGCCTCCGGAGGCTTTTGTAGAGAACTAAGATTTACCTGCTAATTCAATCCAGCTCTTTATTCACCGGAAGGAACTTCAAGTATCCAGCAAGCCAATTTTCAAGCTAAGGGGAAGGGAGGGTTGCTGGGAAACATCCCTCTGGAGAGAGAGATGGTAAAAATAGTACGTTCTTCAGATCCCGGATTATCACTAATATTTGAAAGGCATCATGTGCAGTAACCATGTCAGAGCCTCTCTCGTTTTTAAGGCATAAACGTTACGGGGAGGGGAGGGGAGAGGAGAGATTTTTCTGTTTGTGCCCAGGCGTCCATGCTGTTACAAAGAAGATGCAGAATCATAACTTCTTGAGCATCACCCCAGTCAGGCGCCTCCTGCTCTCTGGTCCCTGCTGGTTTCTTTCCTTTGAGACTTACTGGGAAGAAAGAGAGGGAAAGTTGGTGAGTAAATTTCTGGGAGTTTTTTCACACTTGTCTGAAAGAGGATGAGGTAAAGGGTGACCCCCAGGCACACTGATAAGCGCTATAACCTCTGCTCAGTCTGTTTTTGTGGCTACATTTGCTGCTTGGGATGAAACAGGGCAATAAGGAGATCTACCGATAAGAAATGCCCCTTGTGTAGCTTCTTTCACCTAATGCTCTTACATGATGAATGACCCCTCTCAGATAAATTGAACCCCCATTTTACAGATGGGAAAACTGAGGCACAGAGGGTTTGGGTGACTTGCCTGCAGGCCCAGATTTTCCACAATGTACTTTAGTCCATGCCCAGTTTTCTCAAGCTTAACCCCCGATGCACGTGTGCAATTCAAGGCTTATACGCTCCAATCTTAGCTTGTGCACCTGCCTCGAGGGTTGGCAGATGTTTAAAAATGCCCTGATGCCAGTCTGGGCCCTAGTGAATCAGAATCAGGGCGGGGAATAGAATCTGGGCACATTTCTGTCTCTCCCTTGTCCGGCTGCCTCCCACTCCCCTCCTCTATGTTAATGGTATTCCCATCTCTTTGTCTCTTTCCCAAGGTAATTATCAATAGCTCGATGTGCAGGGAAAGAGGAGGTGGAGTGTGTGGCAGGGGGAAAGTACAACTAACCCCTGGCTGTGAATAAAAACCAGCATTTCAATAGCAAGCGCAGGTGGAAGCTTTAGAACAAGTGAAGAGGCTTGTTCCGTATACAGCGTTGGAAGGTCAAGGCAAGGGACCACTGGATATACAAAACAGGGAGGGAGGAGAGAATTGAAGCAACCGAGGAGAGCCCCGGTGGCTGCTGAATCCCTTTGCCTTCAGACACACTAGTCCCTGGCTGGCTCCTCTCCGGCTGGCTCTTTTTTGAGAAGCAGCAGCTGGAGAACATCGGTGTCTCGGCATAGTCGCCAGTAGAGGTAAATTCTGGGGAGGGCCTGTGAGGTCTCCTGGCCTTGTGACAGATGTCTCAGCAGCATGAGGGTGCCTGGGTGGTGGTAGAGGGGGGAGTGAGGGTGGGGACAGGGGTGTGGGCAGGCATCTGAATGCTAAAGGCCCAGGGTTTAATATTTGGAAATACACATCCACATCCAAATAGTTGGGCCAGGCCTTTCCCCGGAGTCCATGTGACTGTGCATTCTCTCTTTGTCTTGTCCATAGCTCTGGGAGCTTGACTCCATCTCAAAGACGTTACCGAGCCGACGAAGGCTTTCTGACAGTTGGAAAACAGGTGAGGGCAGGTGGCAGCTTCGCTGGTTTTGACTCTTTCCGGGTGATGTTTGACTTTAGTGCTGGTGGGAGATCAACAGGCCTGGAGGCTGAATTCCTTTATCGAGCCACAGAACAGGACCAAGCAGGGGAGTGGCAGTGCCATCTCCATGTGCTGCCTCCTGCCGGGGTGGCCTCCCCTCTGCTCCCAAGGGGCCACGTCCGGGGGTGCGTAGGGATGGCAGTTTAGTTCCCAGGGTGTATTTAGTCCTGGGCCTCTTTGCCAGCTACTGTGTGTTCATAGTGAGTTTCATCTATTCCCTGGGAGCTGGACTGAGACCCACCAATCTCATCTCACACAGGCTGGCCAGCAGGTGGGTGACTTTAAGGTGACTACCAGTCTGGGCTGCATTTGAATCAGTTACCAGAGGTGAGAAGCGCCTCGCTCCATTGCCAGCCTACGAGCGTAGTCTGTCCGTTTATGTTGCAGCTGGAGACTTTCACCCTAAGTTCCAGGCTGCTTGGGAAGGGCTTGTCTCTGGGTCTGGCACATCCTCTGGCTTATCACGACACGGCCGGCAATCCCACCGCCCAGCAATGTCACTAGGAGAGCCACTTGGCAGGACAGGCACTCAGCAGGCTGGAGTGGGTTAGACTTGGAGATTTGCAAATGTAAACGACATTCAGTAGCGTGTGTGTGTGCATGCGTGTGTATGTATGTGCGTGTGTGTGTGTGTGTGTTTACCCTCCTCCTTCATACTCCCTTTTGCACCACTCTTGCTTTGAGCAGATGCCTCGTGCATGTTCCCAGAGTTACTGTTTAAAGGGCCTGGGGACCATTGGGGGCCCGGCTCAGGGCGGTGGAGAGGAGTCTGTGACTGATTATTCACAGCTTCCGTCTCCCCCTATTGGCTCTGGAAAGCCTATGCTGAGCTGGGGCTCAGTGACAGGAGGAGGCTCCGTGTCAATAAAAAGAGGGGATCGAAAGAGTAGGGCTGTAATTCCAAAGGGGAACAAGCAGAGCTCGGCCGTCCTCGGTGCCGTCTGGGGGCTACAAAGCCAAAAGCCACAGCTGCAAAAAGGGACCAGTTTCCTCCCCCCCGCCCTTCACTGATGACCAGATTATCCTGAAGCTGAGGAAAGGAGGTGGACAGAACCTGCTGAGACTCTCAACTTTCCAAGGGAGCCTGCAGCTCCCAGAATCAACTTTCCACCCAAACTCTGCCCGGGGCGGGGAGCTCTCCAGGGACTGGGAGGAACACACAGGTAAGACACCAGCTGTGTGTGTGTGTCTGTGCGTCTGTGTGTCCGTCGGTCTGTACGGGTGTGTGTGTGATGCACTTCCCTGAATCCAACACTTTTTGGAGTTTAATTCTTTGCTTTCAGGTTTGCTTTTCCTCTCCTTGCATTTCAACTTCTAAGAATGATGCACAGGCTGCAGCTTGGATAGCGATTCTGGCATTAAAAAGGGACTTGATTTGTTTAAAGCCGCTGGTTGGTTTCTAGTGCCAAGTACCTCTTATCAATTGCTAAATTATTTAACGACATGCAGATGAGGCTCTTTGTCCCCAGATATCTTTTTCATCCCTATAGCTGTCTGTCGCCTACCCAGTCTATCTGTGTAAATGTCTTTCCCATACTTCATTTCAGTTCAGATATCACATCTTTCTATCTTTCAAGAAGGGACAGAATTACTTATGGTGAAACAAATCAAATTTCAAAATAAACTAGAAGGTGCACATGGAGGTTATTTCCCTTTTTTATAAATTCCCTTAAAAAAAGACTAGTATTCTACAGCAGTAGCACCAAACTCTGAAGTAGCAGTAGTGGAAGTTGCAAAGTAATGGACCATTGCTGTAGAATTTTGAAGCATTTTTGTCTGAAGGGTTGGTGTTTTGTTTTTGTTTTATTTGGTAAAACAAAACATACACAAAAGACATTTTTCAGGTCTTTTTTAAAGACAAAATGGATGCAAATGAGAGGGGAGGGGAAATGATGTTAGAAATGTTTATAAGGTCCTAAAAAGCCTCCAGAATGCTAGATCTTTTAGAGAGGGAAAACTGGTGTAACCGGGCTGAGGGAAGTGTACTCTGTCTGTGTTGTATAAAGTGCCAGGTATGTTAACATTATATTGCCAATAATAATTATTAATAAAAATAATTATCTTCATATCTTGCACACCTTTCATCGGAGGACCTTGCAGCCCTTCTTAAACACTAATTATGTTGCATCACACTGCTTAGCAATCCAGTAGGTGAATATATAGAAAATCTGATTCTGAAATGACCACTTACAGGAACAGTCTTCACTTCCCATTTTTTCATTCTGTTCGTTAGTTAAATACTCTGTACGTTTGTTGCTTTATTTATAACCTGGCACACGATGTCCTCAGAAATGGCTGAAGGGATTTTGCGTGAACTTTAAAAAAAAAAATCCACTTTTGATCAGAGACCAAGCAGGGAAGAATTCAGCCCCAAAGGTGCATATTTAACTTAATTATAGGTGGCTGCAAGCAGGAGGTTAAATTGTATTACATCTATTCTTAAAATCCCATTAATGCAAGGATCTATCTCTCCAGGATGTGTGTGTAACATGGTGTGTATTGGTGTGTGTGTGAGTATACACACACACATGATAGTGTGGGTATTGCGTACGTATATAAAATATGGTATATATCTATAACTCTGTTTTTCCTCCTCCTTTCTTTACCTCTTCCCTTCCTTGTGTTTCCTCCTTCGCTTTTCTCCTTCATTGTTTCTCTCCCTCCTTTTCTTCTGTTCTATTTTTATCGGTCACTTCTCCGTTTCTGAGCAGAACGCAGCTAAGCTCTGTGTGGAGTACTTCTTACAGTGCTGGGTGAGTTATGTTCATGGGGGAGGTCTCTGGCTGCCTGATGACTGGTGACTGGAGCCTGCAGTTTCCCCAGAAGAGTTACAGCTGTATGGGGTGTCATGAAATCCCCCGTCCTCTGGCTGTGGAGGGTGTGAGGATTATGCTCGGCGCATTGTGCCAGATCCGATAGCTTAACTATCAGGCAAATGCTCTGATTTCATAGTCTGTTAATTGCTTCTGGAATTTGTCACATCAGGTTTGAAATGCCTGTGTGATAAATATGATCAGATGTGTAAGGTGGTGCCCGGCTTCTCCAGATGGCACAGAGGGCTCCTTTTCTGATCTCCTCTCTGAAATCCAATACCACATAGCCAGGGCTTTCATTCACCGCTCTTGCATTTTACAAGGTGTTTTAAATCATCTTGGTAGAAATCAATATATAGGAGCTGATGCCACGGAATGCCGTAGCTCAGGTAGGAACAAATTGGTGCCAGACATTTGTTTCGGTTTAGAGATCGATGATGTTTTCAGTGCTGGATCAGACAGAGAAAAGCTATTAATGCGGAAAACTCTGGATCGATAGTGAACGGGGAAAAGACGAGTCTCCAGGCTATATCTACACCTGGTTTAAGCAGGTGAAGCGCCAGTGAAGTCAAGAGGTATCTGGAAACACTAGCTGTGAATTTGGCCCTTCTGACTTGACTTAACCTGGTAAAGGGAGGAGGCAGGGTTGAGCCCCATTAATCCAAGCAGATTAATCGGGCTGGTTTGACTAAATCGAGATTTGGATAAAGCAGGGCGACTCCTCACTGGAATGGCTGTATGTGTGGGGCCAGTCTGAGACCGGGGGATGTTCAGATCAGAGGCTCGACCTCATGCCCCAGTGAGAGGCTGTGCCACAGCCCCGTCGAATGCAAACCTGATTGAAGGTAGGGTGACCAGACAGCAAGTGTGAAAAATCGGGACAGAGGGTGGGGGGGTAATAGGAGCCTATATAAGAAAAAGCCCCAAATATCAGGACTGTCCCTATAAAATCGGGACATCTGGTCACCCTAATTGAAGGCCCCACACTGCTTGCAGAATGCTGGGCTTCTAGGCAAGAAAAAAGCCAGACATCCTGCTTCAGGCCCCGCTCTGCCAAGCACCACTTTCACAAGCCCCCAAGTATGTGTCTCCCTCCCCTCGTCCCCAGGCCTTGCCTTGGGCATGGGGATTTTCATGGCTAGAAAATAGGGCACGTTGCTGTCTTCTTCCCATGTGCTGCTGGAAACCTACCTCAGGCTTTTGCGTGATGCCAAGCGTCCGGTCCCACTGAACACCTGGATAGAAGTGGGGCACTGGGGAGCCTGGTGTTATTAACGGCTCTGGGGTGAGGAGCTGAACATGTTGCGGTTATTGACAAGTGGCCTATTTGTCTTTTCTCCGTCCTTCCTTTTAACCGTTTCCATACCAGCCCCTCCTCTTTGGTGCTTCCCTTCCCTTTTCCTTCTTTGCTTTCCATGCAGCGCCGAGACCTTCAGCATTTCAGTCTTCCAGACCAAGAGCACTTTAAATTAAAAATCGGTTTTGTTTTCATGCTGTATTGAGCTTTCTCTTCCTGTTGTATTACAGCAGGGGTAGGCAACCTATGGCACGCATGCCAAAGGCAGCACGCGAGCTGATTTTCAGTGGCACTCACACTGCCCGGGTCCTGACCACCGGTCCGGGGGGCTCTGCATTTTAATTTAATTTTAAATGAAGCTTCTTAAACATTTTAAAAACCTTATTTACTTTGCATACAACAATAGTTTAGCTATATATTATAGACTTCTAGAAAGAGACCTTCTAAAAATGTTTAAATGTATTACTGGCACGTGAAATCTTACATTAGAGTGACTAAATGAAGACTCGGCACAGCACTTCTGAAAGGTTGCCAACCCCTGTATTACAGTTTTGCACCGATATTGGCATTAGCTGAGTTTTCTCTGACCAGTTCTATTTGCATGACTAGCAGAGAGGCTAATAAAGTAACAGGGTATCTCATATTCCTGTTTCTAATGACACATCACAAGAGGTTAACAAGGAGGGAGAGTGACTTAGTGGTTTGAGTAGGAGGCTGGGGATAGGGACTCCTGGGTTCTGTTCTATTGATTTGCTAAATGACCTTAAGCAAATCACTTACACCTTCTGTGCCTTTTATTACCCACCTTT